GGTAGAGTCTCAAAACCAAATATTGCTTGACCACCTACCTGCTGTATGACCTGGGCAAGCTACTTAGCCATCTACAGTAATAGTAACAATAATATACTCATAATGGCTAATACACACTAATCATATGAGGAGCCAGTCTACCTCACTTAAACCTCACAACCTTGTAAGGTAGGTATATTGCTATCTGCGTATCTTCTGATAATACCGAAACACAAAAAGGCTGAATAACTTGCCAAACGTCCCAGAGCTAATAAGGAGCAGATTTGACCATCTGGCTCCACAGCTTATAATGAGAACAATAATCTCTACCTTTCAGGATTGTTCAAGGAACTAGAGACAACACATGTAAAGTTGCCAACATATAGTATGTTCCAGAAAATGACAGATATTGAACATTCACTGTGTACTGGGCACTACAAGATGTTAAAATTGCATCCATGAATAAGCCACAGTACCTGCCCTCCAGGCAAGCATAATCACAGTACAGTGCTAAGACTACATTCACCGAAGGCCGAGTTCAGCAAAGGGAACATCTGACCTTTTTTTCAGGATTGTCTTCCTGGTACTGGGCACAGTAGCTGGGACATAGCAGATACTGGAAGGGAAGGAGACCACAGAATTTAAAAAACATAAAACACAAAAACTAGGCCTAAGACTCTGGGAGACAGATGGGATAGATGCTCTTATTTCCATACTAGCAAATGAGAGAAATCAAGGTTCAGTAACTCCCACAAGGTCACACAGCAAGTCAACAGGTCTTTTGACTAACATTTTGCCCACACTCTGTTGCATTCCCCCATCCTTCCAGTTTCTACCAGCCCCTAGATGGCATTCTGCAGGTTAACGAAGGTAGCAGGTGGAGGTAGGGCTGTGAGCAGATTAAAATTTCGAAGAATAATTGGGGCCCCTGGGTGGTTCAGTCGTTAAGTGTCTGCCTTCGGCTCAGGTCCGGGGTCCTGGGATGGAGCCCCACATCGGGCTCCCCACTCTGTGGGAAGCCTGCTTCTCCCTCTTTCTGCCACTCCCTCTGCTTGTGTTCCCTCTCTCACTGCATCTCTCTGTCAAATAAATAAAAATCTTTAAAACAAAAAAACTTCCAAGAATAAAAACAGACATCAGGGCCCATGTCCTAGAGACTACGCAGTCCCACATGAGCCCATTTTCTTCCTGTCTCTGTTCCATTTGGCACAAACCAGCTTCTCACTTTAGGGTTAGACTGTTCAGGGCTCTTTCCCAGAGATCGAATTTCCGTAGTTATTTTTAGCTGGAGTTTTAGTGCATACCTGGGACAGGTGAGGCATGAAAAGAAATGTGGGTGCGGATAACCCTTGAACCTCTAGTGCCAAGGTTTGGGTCTCTTGTCATTCCAACTGAAGAGAGATGACTCATACCCTGACTTATCTGCCCTGAGGCAAGATTTCACCTTAAGAACTATGTGAATTAGAACTTCTGGTATATTCTCTAATTTTGTATTCAAGTTCTTGGAACATACTTTCTTGATGTTACTTTGTTACCTGCTTTTGATAACTTGGATGCCTTCATTTTCTGCCACCAATGCCAGAGCCCGTGGTTCTTTCTGGTCTCCTTTCCCAGGCTTTGAGGGAGCTGGGGTAGAGAGTCTCCGATTAAGATTTTTTTTTAAGGGCGCCTGGGTGGCTCAGTGGTTTAATCTGCTGCCTTCAGCTCGGGTCGTGATCTCAGGGTCCTGGGATCTAGTCCCGCATCGGGCTCTCTGCTCGGCAGGGAGCCTGCTTCCCTCCCTCTCTCTGCCTGCCTCTCTGTCTACTTGTGATCTCTGTCAAATAAATAAAATCTTTAAAAAAAAAAAAAAAAGATTTTTTTTTTTTAAGATTTTATTTATTTGACAGAAAGAGAGAGTGAGAGCACAACCAAGGGGAGTGGCAGGCAGGAGGAGAGGGAGAAACAGGCTCCCTTTGAGCAGGGAGCCGGATGCGGAGCTTGATCCCAGGACCCTGGAATCATGATCTGAGCCAAAGGTGATGCTTAACTGACTGAGCCACCTAGACACCCCAATTTAGGTTTTTTTTATTATCTGTAGGTAGGAAGCTACCTGGAAAACAACTTGGCTGTAAGCCAGATCTTTTTATAAAGCCAGCCAAGTTTTAGGATATTAAGGGACTTAGAAAGAATAATCAGGGTGCCTGGATGGCTCAGTCGGTTAAATGTCTGCCTCCAGCTCAGGTCATGATCTTGAGTCCTGGGATCAAGCCGTGCGTTAGGCTCCCTGCTCAGCTGGATGGAGTCTGCTTCTCCCTCTCCTGTCCCCCTCCCTCTGTGCACTCTCAAGTAAATAAATAAAATATTCAAAAAAAATTAAAAAAGAATCATCATCATAAACTAGTTGAGTCTAGAACCCTCCTGGCAACTACTAGAATCCCCTCAGAGTACCTTTAAGTTCCAGAGTGCGTAGAATTCTGGGCCTGCTTTAAGACTGGAATAGCCAGCCCAACTAAAACCATATCACTGGGATCCTTGGACCCCTTCAAAAAGCAGAGATATTTTCCTCATCTCACTTCAGCTCTAGACAGAGAAAATAAAAAGAGGCTAGCTAGTATCATGAAGCCATGATACAACAAATACTATATAAAGTGGCTTCATGATTCAGATGAGAAATAAGAGGGAAATCTGGGCCAGCATTACATGACTATTGTAAGCTACTTCCTTTATGAAGTCATACAAGTTAGGTGTAGGAATTGTTTGCAACTGGGGGAGGGGGTGAGGGTGGTTGGTTATTTTGAAACCCTGTTTCTTTTTTTGAGAGAGAGAGAGAGATTGGGGGGGCAGAGGGAGAGAGAGAGACTCTTAAGCAAGCTCCACACTCCAGCACGGAGCCCAACACAGGGCTCAATCTCAGGAGAACTCATGAGATCATGACCCGAGCCAAAATCAAGTCGGACACTCTACCAACTGAGCCACCCAGGCGCCCCCGAAGTTCTATTTCTTAAATCAGGAAAACAGAACCAAGGAATTATACCAAGAAGGAAACAGAAAAAATGCCAGAAACACCCTCCCTACTCCTGAAACTAGAACCTTTGGTACCTTGACTGCAAAGATAATTTATATTTCATTTAAGAGAGTATCATCTTAAACTTGTTTTTTCTAAGATTTAATTTTTAAGTAATCTCTACACCCAACATGGGGTTTGAACTTAAAACCCTCAGATCAGGAGTCACATACTTTACCGAGTCAGCCAGGTGCCCCTCATTTTAAACTTTTATGCTTCCACCCACCTTAACCATTTCTGAAGACCTACCTTCTGCCTTTTCTACACTTTCTTTGTCATCAACTCTATCTACCACTTCTATTCCACCATATAGTCTTAAACCCCAAACAACATAGCAGTCCAGAAAGATGGGTCTGTATTGGATTGAATACTCTCCCTCCAAATTTCACGTCTATCTGGAACTCCAGAATATGACCTTTTTGGAAATAGGGTCTTCACAGATACAATTAGTTAAGATGAGGGCATACTGGATTAGGATGCATCCTGAGCTCAATGACTGGTATCCTCAGAGGAAGGCCACGTGAAGACATGGACACATGAGGAAGGTTATATAAAGATGAAGGCAGAGATTAGTTATGCAGCCACAAGCCAAGGAACATCAAGGATGGCTGGCAACGACCAGAAGCTGGGAAGGAGGCAAGGAAGGAGTCTTCTTTAGAGGTTTCAGATGGCACAAGGCCCTGCTGACCTCTTAATCTCAGACTTCTAAGAAGCTTCCAGAACCATGAGCCAATAAATTTGTTTTTAAGCCACCCAGTGTGTAATACTCGTTATGGCAGCCCTAAGAAACTAACACACACCTTGATTAGGGTTTTAGCAGCAAGACTTCGTAACCCTGCCTCAAAGGATATGGGTACAAGAACAGATCCAATTAATGGTACAAACCCACAGCTCTGTCCTTATTCACTAACAGATCACATTTATTTATTTCTGTGCCTTCTGTCCTTTGCAGTAACATCTTTACTCACCTTGTGTGGGACCCTGGCTTATGGTCTGGATCATGTAATATGCCTAAAGACAAATCATTCACATTTCTTCGCTGAGTGTCCTATCGTCCCATCCTAGCAAAGCTAACAGCTAAGCTTTAGAGCTGTAGTTCTTAATCCTTTTGGTCTCCCCAGAAACATGCATACACTTCAGGCATCTACAGATCCTATATGAAAGACCCCTACCTACTCAGAAACTTCACACTCCTTCAGGATAATTCCAATCTCTCTTCCTTACCCACACCCCATCCCCCAATTCAATACCAGCTTGCTTCTGAAGTCCCCCAATGAACTGAAATGGCAACCATCCATTTACTCTTACCCAAAGGCTCACTAAGCCCCCTGGAGAGTCCCATCAGGAAAATACATTCAGGAAGAACCAGCCTCCAGTGGTACACAAAACTCAGTCACAAGTATGGACCCACTCACCTTTTCTTCTATTCTTTTTCTGCTTTCCTTCTTTCTTATTGACTCCTAACTTCTCTAACTTAATCTTCGCTCAAATGCACCATAATGAGAAACAATGAAATGTGAAGCAAACTAAACAACAAAATAGCCATGTGTTTAGATTTCAAGTAATTATAAATGCCTTCTTATCCACAGGCATTCCTCTTGGATGCATTTGTGGCAGAATGTACCCCACCACCTGTGTTTATAAAGATCTTCCTGTAATCAACAGTCCACACCTGACTACCACAGAGAATTTTACTGACGTCTACTTTTCACTTCTCATGACTCTAAGAAATACAATCATTGGAACTTGTACTTTTCTTTTTTTTTTTTTAAGAATTTATTTATTTATTTGAGAGAGAGAGATCACAAGTAGGCAGAGAGGCGGAGGGGTGGGGGAAGCAGGCTCCCCACCGAGCAGAGAGCCCAATGTGGGGCTCGATCCCAGGACCCTGAGATCATGACCTGAGCCGAAGGCAGAGACTTAACCCACTGAGCCACCCAGGCACCTGGAACTTGTACTTTTCATTAAGATACATATGGAAAGTTTCTCTTCTGCCAAAACTCATTCTCAATCTTAAATTACTGGAAACTCTTCACTCTGGTTCTGCCACTCCAGACACATCCTCTTCTAATAAACTTGTTACATTTGACAAAAATGATTAGGCATCTTCTGATTTAAAAGAGCAAAACACTGTTCACGGCCGTGAAGCCCATAGTTGTTTCTATATTCCATCAACTCTCCCCACCCAGTCCCTACAGAGCCACAGTCTATTTTCTCTCCAGGAGCTGATGGTCCAGCTTTACTTCTCCTGAATTTCATCACCCAGCAGATGGAGACAAAAGAAAGGGTATTAGCCAGTGAGCCTCCATGACAAGGGGGTGAAACTGGGTCTTGGAATTACCCTGTATTTCTGATGCTTCCTGATTTTACTCTAGTTACCTGGGAATAAGAGTCTATTATATAAGAAACCAGTCTTCCTATCCAAGTGTTTAATCCAAGAAGCCAGGGAAGTGAATCTATTCAGTGATCTAACAGACTCTGTTGTCTTACTTATGAACTTTGGTCCATCACCAAGAAAAACACAACCAAGACTTTCCTTTCAAAGCCATCCATCATCTTGTTCATTTGTAGATTTTTTTTTAATCATAAATATTTATCTTAATTAAGAATGAGCAATGAATCTGCCACATAATTGCCACTGCCAGTTTCTTACTTATTAGTAAGAGCTTACTTAAATCTCTAAAGTCCCTCAGCTTATAAAAGACTTCAAGGAGTACTGAATCTTTTAAAAATAATATTTAAATTTATTATTCCACATTAGGTTTAATGAAGCGCAAGCTGAGACTGCTAAAGGATCACCATTTTACAGACGTAGGAGCATCTTCCCTTTATAACAACAGGTCCAGCGCTTCATCAACCTAGTCCTTGACCTGTAGCTAAAAAAGCAAAGGTCTGTGTGAAGTGACAGAAGAGCACAGCCTACTCAGGTCATGACCAAGGACCCAAAGCGGACCTCAGCACTGGAAAAGTCAGTCTGCAGTCATGGAGCTCTATAGAAGGGGACCAAGTACTGAGTTAGAGGAGGTTCTGGACATCATTCTGACAGATTCCGATCTAAGGAACTCTGACCAAGGAGGTTTCATTCTCTTCTATAATCCCCTTTTAAGGAACAGAAGGCTGAAATTGAGTCTTCATAAGAGAATTAACGGCCTTTCCGTTTCTTCATTTTTCCTCCAGCCACCTTGTTCCTGACACCCATAGCACCTTCTGTGTCATCGTTGTCCCCAGCATCCTCCCGTGTGCGTTTCTTCTTCTCTCCATGCTCCCTTAACTCCTGCAAGAAAAGAGAAAGGATGGGAGTGAAAGTTACTATTACTGAGGGTAACACATCTTGTCTCCCCTCCCTAAAATCAAACACTAAGTAACTCCCTAACACCTCACATTCGCAAAGTGCTAAGACCAAAATCCTAATACACAAAAATGTTCACATGAAAATTAAAATAAGCTATTATTTTCACATAGTAGGCCAGCAAAGATTTAAGAGGTAGTACCTCATATTGGTCAACATGTGGGAACATCCACATACTTTGTCTCTGACAGTTTCAACTGCTATAGCTTTTCAGGGGGGAGGGGCGGGAAATCTGGCATTCTCTATGAATGCCCAACAATTAATTCAGCCCAACAATTAATTCTACTTCTAGGAACTTATTCAAAAGAAACAAGTATGCAAAGCTATACATATTAGGATGTCCAACATGGTACCACTTAAAATACAAAACATGTGAAAAAAAACACCATTACAAGTCATGTTATATATTCATAATGGAATTCTCTCTAGCCATGAAGAAGTGATCCCATGGCTCCCCATTTGTTAAAATAGAAAAATGTTAATCATATACAATCAGATAAAAATCTAAGTATGGCTAAAAAAGGGAAAAGAGCCAAATGTTCTCTATGCGGGGTAGCTTGTATGTTTCAATTTGCTAATTTAATCTTTTCTGTATTTTCTGAAATTTTTTCAATGTACATATAATACTGTTATAAGCAAAAATAACAAAGAATTCCATGTGAGCAAAAAAACAAAAACAAGTCCACACATGGACTACTCAGAAAGCACCCCAGGGGCACAGCTGCCTCATCCCTCAAACTACAACTCTAGGGAGCAGACAGCACTTGCTAGTCTAAAGTCTCCTTTAGAATCTTCCCATCCATCCCCACCCTTATTGCCGCTACTTAGTATTAGTTACTATGCAGGTCACGTTAGCTTATCTGGCACCAAAAAAACCCTTGTACAGTATCAAGATAATTATTATTGCCAGTTTTTTGGGCAAGGAACTGCTTCTGAGAGTTTAGATGCACTATCCAAACCCACAATGTCCAATTCACAGCTGGGTCTTCTGACCGCATATCCAAAGGTTTTCTTGCCACATGTGAAACACAAAGAGAGGCTGAGCATGTGGTCACTGCGGTCAGACTGAGTCCAAACCCGGATTCAAATTACCTACCATCCCTGTATTTTAGTACGCTCATCTTAAATTTGGAATAAAATAATACTGAGCTCCCGTGGTTTTGAGGATTCATACAACAGCACCTAGCTCACAGTGTCAGCATTTAAGTTGGTGAGAAAATAAGTTGCATACCATGCGGGCAAATCTCTGGGCTTCGGTCACACGTTCTGTCAGCATCATAACCTCATCATCCTGTGTTGGAAAGACAGGCAATTTCTTCCCAATTAAGTGTTCTATACGCTGGAAGAGTTCCACATCATACCTAAGGAAAGAAAATGGGCATGGCTTTGGCTGGCTGACAATGCAAATGTCTGTCCATTCCAACAGCATACATTATGTGATATGATGCACCAGGAGCCAGTTTTAAACACTACCGGATCCATTATTCCTCTTCAGAATACTAATTAGATGCCATCTTCTGTACACAGTCCACTAGAAAATGTCCAACGTATTCTTTACTCCCAGAAAAACCCTGGTTACATAAAAATTTGTTCCTTTTAGAAACAAGACCAAGATAATTATTCTAATACTTTGAGTTGAGGGAAAGGTCACCGTGCTCCAGTTTCAGCAGCTGAAAGAAACAGCAGGGGTTTCTCTGCATGCTTCTGTATGCCAAACACCGTACCAGATCTTCTATGTGTGTATCACCAACCTTCATTAAACCCCACTAGGTAGGTATTATTATTTCCATTTTACAAATGATGAAAACAGTATGAGGGAGGTTTAAGTGACAATTAGAGTAAATGGCAAAGTCAGGCGCCAGGTCAGTCTGCTGAAAAAGCTCTGCTCTTTTCTCTCCATTGTTCTTCCCCTGAAATCAATTCACTTACTGTGTGACAAAGGTAATAGCCTTTCCGGAACGCCCAGCTCGAGCAGTTCGACCTACTCGATGGATATAATCCTGAAACAAAAAGAGTAAATTTGAGTTACAAAAAACATAAAAAATAATGAACATAAGGTTTTACTGCAAACCTCTGAAAGAAAATAGACTCGTGCTGAAACATGGAAAAATGGATTGGGCAATAGATTGAGATAGATCTACTACTTCTTTTTTTTTCTTTTTTTTTTAAAGATTTTGTTTATTTGAGAGAGAATGATCGAGGGAGAAAGAGCAAGAGCAAGCCATGAGCAGGAGGAGGGAGAAGCAGGCTCCCCGCTGAGCAGGGATCATAACCAACTCCGGGATCATAAACCAACCCAAAGGCAGACACTTTACCGACTGAGCTACCCAGTGCCCCTACTTCCTCTCTTTTTATTCTCCTTGCAGCACTAAATTGACTCTTATTTCTTTTCTTTTATAGAAAGACAAATCTAAAGAGTATTTACATGGTCTAGAGGAAAACAGCACTGGATACAGAGGCAGACCTGGATCATGGTTCTGGTCTTACCACCTACCAGCTACACCACTGTCTGCAAGTCACAGAGTCTCTCTGAATTTGCTTCTCTCTACAAAACAGGATAGAATGCATGCCCAAGCTCAGAGCCATTTTCAAAATCAAATGAGACAGCAGTTACACACAAAGCCAAAAGATCACTTTGTGGGAGTTACTCTGGGGACAATTCTGTCCTCCCCAGGGAATATTTGGAAATGTCAGCAAACATCTCTGGTTGTCACAGTGTCACCTGTGTGTAGAACTGGAACGCAGCTAAGCATCCTACAATGCGAAGGACAGCCCCACAGCAAAGAATCTGCTGGCCCAAAACATTAATGGTGCCAAAGATGAGAAACCCTGAGATACACAAAAAACTACAAGCTGACCATTCTGAAGAAATGAGACTGACAAAGATCAGCATATGCTGCACCTCCCCTGTGGGCTATGAGCACCCAGTACTTCTCTTTGGCTATCTTCTTTCACATTTATGAATACCACATCTTCAGGCACATGCGAGATAACGAGAATGAATAAATCAAGAGCCTTCCATTTAACTGCGAACAAAATAAATTTAAAAAATGATGTTGTAACTAACGAGACACAGAAAACATTCCATTAAGAAATACACTCTGCGGGATGCCTGGGTGGCTCAGTCGTTGGGCGTCTGCCTCCGGCTCAGGTCATGATCCCAGGGATCGAGTCCCGAGTCGGGCTCCCTGCTCAGTGGGGAACCTGCTTCTCCCTCTCCCACTCCCCATTGCTCGTGTTCCCTCTCTCACTGTCTTTCTCTGTCAAATAAATTAATAAAATTTAAAAAAAAATAGAAATATACTCTGGGGGATGCCTAGGTAGCTTAGTTAAGTGTCTGCCTTCAGCTCAGGTCATGATCCCAGGGTCCTGGGATAGAGCCCTGGGTCCAACTGCCAGCTCAGCGGGGAGCCTGCTTCTCCCTCTGCCTACCACTCCCCTGCTTATGTTCTCTCTCTGATAAATAAATAAATAAATAAAATCTTTTAAAAAATTACACTTTGGGGGTGCCTGGATAGCCTAGTTGGTTAAGTATCTGCCTTCGGCTCAGGTCATAATCCTGGAGTTCTAAGATTGAGCCCTATGGCAGGCTCCCTGCTCAGTGGGAAGTCTGTCTCTCCCTCTCCCTCTGATCCTCCCCCCATTCAACTCAATCTCAAATAAATAAATAAAAACTCTTTAAAAAAAAAAAAAGAAAGAAATACAATTTGGATACAATGGAATATTATTCAGCCATAAAAAAGAATTAAATCTTCCCATCTGCAACAGACATGGACTTTAAGGACATTATGCTAAGTGAAATAAGTCCAAGAAAGATAAATACCATATGAGCTAACTTGTATGTGTAATCTAAAAATTAAAAAACAACAAACTGAGCTCATGATACAGAGGACAGAATTGGTAGCTGCCAAAGGTGGAAATAATGGGACTGCGGATAAACTGGGTGAAGGGGGTCAAAATGCACAAACTTCCAGTTACAAAATAAGTCAGTCATGGGGCTGTAACGTACAGCTTGGCAACTATAGCTAATAATACTGTATCACACATCTGAATGCTGTTAAGAGAGTACAGCCGAAAAGTTCTCATCCCAAGGGGGGGGAAAAATCCATAACCATGTATGGTGACAGATGTTAACGAGATCTGTGGCAATCATCTCATGATATATGCAAATATCATATCATTATGTTATACAACTGAAAGTAATGTTATATGTCAATTACACCTCAATTTTAAAAATGAAAGAAATACACTTTGGGACTAGGAAGTCAGGTCAGTGACAGGACTCACCTTGGAATGGGTAGGAATGTCAAAGTTAACAACTACATCCACATGAGGTATGTCCAAACCTCGGCTTGCAACATCAGTTGCTAGAAGAATAGAACGAGCCTTGGCCTTAAATTTATTAAGGGATCCTAGGCGTTTGCTCTGAGATGATGAAAAAAAAAAAAAGAAAAAAAATTTAATCTTGGAACACTAGGAATCTTACAATCTAAGATAGATACACTAAATATAAAAACAGAGACAGAAATTTTTAAAAGGCTGTTTCCCTCTAAGTCCAGACTGGGTTTCACAGGTCAAAAGGAAACATGGAAGCAACAAAAAAAATATTTAATACTAAGGCTAGAAAATACTAACATGATACAAGGATGATTTAACATGACAGATAGTTGAAAAATAATTTATTAAAACTCTTTTGAGACCAAAGAACCACTTTTACCACTAGAACTGAATAAATCAACTCAAGAGCTTCCATACCAGACAAATAACTGGAATCTTTGAGTCTGAGCCTCTCTCCTATCCTGGAAGGAGGCATCCAGAGCAACACTTTAAAGCCCATAAAATCTATTTAATTTTGGAAAGATGCATTAATGTCTCATGCTGTTTTTGTACAGATCTACTGCTACAAAGTTTACCTTTCTCATGCCACCATGCACCACTAATGACACCGAAGAGTCTTTACCTGACTCATCTGTCCATGGAGGGGGATGGCAGTGAATCCGAGGTTTCGGAGTAGCAAAGCTGTTCTCTGAGTATTGTTACAGGTGCTGCAGAATATCATAAAGGAGTTTCCAGCCAATTCATTTAGAATATAAACCAGGTAGGTATCCTAAGTTAAAAACCCAAAACAATGTAAGTAATTGAACCTGGGAGAAAAGACTGGAGTCCTGGGGATACAAATTATGTAAAACACTAAGCCTATATATAGTTGCTTCTCAATTTTCCAGACCACAGTTGCCAGTTCTGCATTCCTGAAGCAGCATTATCATGTCTGTGAACTCTGAATCTCACATGCAGCCTACAGCCAAGCACAACTCCTTGTCGTCAGCAACCAGGAAGAGTCCCGACATCAAAGCACAAAACTAGGGTCCCTTGCCTATAAAAGCCACGTAATCAGCAGACAAAAGAAAAGCTACTTCAAGAATGGGCCGGGAAAGGAATGACATCATTACTGTGGTTTAGCGTGCTATGAATTCCCGGAATATCTGACTTTATCAGTGATAAATGTAAGCACAGTAAGCATGCTAAAACAAACAGGAGCACGGCTCTTAGCTAATCAAAAGTGGACGAACTTTCAGCTGCTTCGGTGAGGAAGGAGAGGGAGAGGCAGGAATGATCAAAGTAAACACTTTACCTTGAATTTAGAGGGAATAAAAAGATAATATTGCTGTAATTTCTCAACTGTCTGGTATTTGGAAGAAACAGCACATTTCACAGGATTCTTCAGCGCTGCTCGCTGAAGTTTTTGCACCTAAAGAAAGAAAACTCAGAATAGTACACTGATGCCCAAGTGCTCTATTTTTATGATTGCTGTTGTTTTTATTTATCACTTAATAAAGAATAAAATGTTAAGTCCTAGAAAATTTCACCTTCTTGGTCATGGTAGCAGAAAAGAGAAATGTTTTCCGATCTCGGGGAATCACTTTGAGGATCTTGTCAACCTAAGGCACAAAGAAGAAAGGATATCAATATAACAGTCAGACTGGATACTTGCAAATGCTCTCTGTGAAGGGGACAGAGAGTAAAAAACCAAAAGTATCACTGTGAGATCCGGTGACTCAAAAATTCAATTCAGCTAAAATTTACTGAATATTTACTTTTTGATACCATACCAGAGTCTATTTAAAAAGAAATGCCATTCAGAGAAAAGAAGTTTAAATTAGAGTTGAGTTAATCTAAGAAAAAAGTCAAGAATAAGTGTTCATCAACTAATTAAGCTGTGATGAGTGGGTGAGCTATGATAACAGCTGACCAAAAATAAAGGTATCTCAAAGTCTATGAAAGAGGTAGAAATCAAACGAAATGGAAAGGAAATCTGGTTGAAATTTCTCACGTCTGAAATCAAAATCTAACTACATTCTAGGGAGGATACTGAGGCACTGACAATAGAGAGGAGCACTAAGAATGAGAAAAGGCAGCAGAGATGTTTAAATTAACTGACGATGATACTGGGCTCCACATAGAGCAGGTGTGCAATGAATTAAATTTTGAAACAGGACACCTGAGATGCCCTAAGAGGAGGAAAGAAATTGAATGCTCACTTCTGTCTCAAAATCCATATTCAATATTCGGTCTGCTTCATCCATGACCAAGTACTTGAGAGCTCTTAAGTTGAAACCTTTTGTATTTTCCAAGTGGTCAATCAATCGACCAGGAGTTGCTATCAAGAAAGGTTGAGGAGAAAGACAATGTTTAAGAACAAGGACAAAAAGAAAGTTATCAACCGCCCCAACCCCCAAATTTCAGAAATTAAAAAAATTAAAGTTACAAAAGTCCTTTCTTCAAAGTCTTTCCATACAAATAAGTTACACTCAACATCTGTAGATTTTCTCCAATTCATTATCACTAATGCCTTCTACCTCTGTCAGTTACTCACCTATTATCACGTGTGGTTTTTTCGCCAGAGCCAGAGATTGGGACATTGAATCAATTCCACCTACAATCACAGCTACAGAAATAAAAAGAATATAGGACAGAGACCCTTTATTTTTTCCACAGTTCACCGAACATCTTTTTGAAGCCAGTGCTAGATTTCTACCTAAATTTCTCTTCCTGTACAACTTTCCCCAAAGCTAAAATACCAAACTGGCTCTTAAGGTCAATGAACTCATGTTAATAATACTTTCTTCTATTCTCCTTTTACACTCATTCTCAACCTGTCATGAAACTCTGATTCCTTTCCTCTCAAACACTTACCACTTTGCACACCAATAGAAGACCCCAGGGCCTCAAACTGCTCCGAGATCTGAAAGGCCAACTCTCGAGTGGGCGTGAGAACCAAGGCAAACAAACGCTGGGGCGTCTCCAGCAGCGCATTCAGAATGGGCAAGGCGAAAGCCCCTGTTTTTCCAGAGCCAGTTTCTGCCAGCCCGATGATATCACGACCTAGGAAGAAAAAGGAAACATCTAAAAGCAAAGAAATGCTCTCTTCATTATTTCCGTATTTTCTACAATGACGGCATGTGGGCACAAAGGAGACAATGAATAAACATTTGATGAATGGGAGGGAAAGGAAGGCTGAATAGACAGAAGACATGGCCTCGTCCTAGATAAGCTCAAAATCTGGGGGAGATACACAAAGACGGTATGTGATAAGGACTTTAGAATAGGCCCCTATTGGGGCGCCTGGGTGGCTCAGTGGGTTAAAGCCTCTGCCTTCGGCTCGGGTCGTGATCCCAGGGTCCTGGGATCGAGCCCCGCATCGGGCTCTCTGCTCAGCGGGGAGCCTGCTTCCTCCTCTCTCTCTGCCTGCCTCTCTGCCTACTTGTGATCTCTGTCTGTCAAATAAATAAATAAAATCTTTAAAAAAAAAAAAAAAAAGAATAGGCCCCTACAAAATATAGTGAGAACACAAAAGAAGGAATAACTTACAGTCCATAGGAGTCAGGAAAGGCTAACAGAGGTGATGGGTAAATTCAATTTGGAAGTAAGCGAAGAAAGAAAGGAAGGACATTCCTATATGAGGACAGAGGGGACAGGCTTTAAAGAACACAGCATGTGCAGGGAGAGTGAGAAGTACAATGTGGCTGGAACACAGAAGTGTAAAGGGAGAAGAATGAGGCTAGAAAAGAAATTCATAAGCCATGCTAGAGAGTTTTGATGTCTTCTTTTAAGAGGGAGGAACTGAAGGATTTTAAAAGCAGGGAACTTGATGACCAATGTTATTCCTTAGGAAGAGAAACCCTAGGCCTGATGGCATAAGGAGCCAAGGATCTCAACAGTACAGGCCATTTCCACTGCTTCTTCTGAGGGAAGAATGCTATAAGTGATCCCTTAAGAAGAGGTCCCTGGAGGGGCGCCTGGGTGGCTCAGTAGGTTAAAGCCTCTGCCTTCGGCTCAGGTCATGATCCCAGGGTCCTGGGATGGAGCCCCACATCGGGCTCTCTGCTCAGCAGGGAGTCTGCTTCCTCCTCTCTCTCTGCCTGCCTCTCTGCCTGCTTGTGATCTCTGTCTGTCAAATAAATAAATAAAATCTTTAAAAAAAAAAAAAAAGAAGAGGTCCCTGGGATTTGTTATCACCAATCAAGGCATAACAGTAAGATCTGGAAATTAACTCCCAAAGCAAGACCATCATCTCTAGACTGGCTGGCTACAGCTTACAAGGTCGCCGCACACCAGAACAGTGGCCCCTGGGAATACTTCCTAGCAAAAATGCCCTCCACCAGTTGATGCTCACACTATTCCTTGACTATACACAACTGGTGAAATTTCCTTACCTAGGGATTAACCCTACAATAAACTCCTTTTTCCTGAGGTTAGCTAACTCTCTTCTTCATGACCTAAAATGGCCCAAACAAACAGAATGGGGAACACACAGGAAAATGAGGGCTCAATGAGGATACCAGGGGAGTTAGGAAGGTGATCTGAACTGAGGTAAGGCAGTGAGGACAGAAAGAAGTGAGATGTAGAAAGTCATTCAAGAAAATGTGGTTGACACATGGGTTTCTAGCTTGGGAAACTCAAAGGCCATAAATTGAGACAAGGGCTTCTGGAAAATTAGTTCTGATGAGGAAAACAGTGACTCTGGTTTGAACATAAGGAACTTGAGGTTTATGCCAGAGGCTCAGAGAGAAATATCTAACTTGTCTGGAGTTCAGTAGAGAAGTATAGGCTAGAAACACAGATGTGGGAGCCATGAGCATCCAAACAGTGGTGCTCCCCCGAGGCTAGACACATTAGAATAATTTACGAGATTTTTATATCTATATATGCCGAGGTCCCACGCATAGAAATTCTGATTCAGTGGGTCTAGAAATCTCTGTTGTTCTACAAGTTCCACAGGTGATTCTGATGAACACTGGCTGAGATTTACTGACGCAGACAGTGTTAAAGGTTCAGGACATGAGAAATCTTACTAGTGTTTTAGAGTGCGGAAAAAAAGGATAAAGATAGATTTAACATTGTAAGGGAAAAAAAAAAAAAACAGAAGAAACTGAGAAAGGACAGCAAGAAAGACAGAAGACAATACTGACTTGAAATTGAGGAGAAAGAGAGCTTCAAGAAAGGAGAGTGATTAATATCAAATAGAACAAACTTTTTGATATTCATCTCTTAGACATTAATCACTTAAACAAGAATTGGCCATCCAGACCAAACAACAGCATATTCTAGTGAATGCTACCCTTTGCCCTTCTAATAGTAACATCAATGTTTTCCATATAAAAGTACAGGTGTGGATGTGAATTATAAGTCAGTCCAGACAATGGACTAATTTTATTAAGGTCACAAAAACAAATGGCAACAGAAGGATAAAATTTCTCCCTCATTTACTAACTCTATTGTTCCTCTTGGCCGTAGGGTAAGTGACAACAAACTGCAACAGCATCTCCCTACTTGTGAGCTAAGGGCTTCCAAAGCTTTTTTTTCCTCCACTCTGTGGGAATTCTGCCCTCCCTGCCGGGGTCCAGCGTGCCTTCTGGAACAGGAAAATACAAAAACAGTGGGATCTGTCCCTTTTTCTATCAATGGAAATCTAAAAATTTCAGAAGAAAGGAGTATACAAGAAAGATTTAGGGAAGTAAAGGAGCTTAAGTCTCTCGCTTCATGTGGCTGTGAATGACACCCGCCACCCCCAGTGAAGGCCAGCACTGCCTGCGGTTCTCTTATGATCCCCTCAAAGCAATACTCGCTTTGTGAGACTGATTTTCCTCTACGATCTCCCTTCTTCCTCTCACAACCCCTAAGCCCCTCTGGTAGTGTCTGTGTAGAATACATACCCCATAAGAGAAGAATAAATTCATTCACCTTGATCACACGGCCAGCACCTAACACAACTGCTTTGGGATATGGCAGCTATTCAAAAAACTGTCTGAAATTTCTAGAGGACTTTGAGTGATCTCTGAATTAGAAATAAACTTAATACACGAAACAGATGGGAAGAAAAGCATCCTCAAAAACCATCAAAAGGTTTTGATCTCTCCATTATAAAACCCTGTAATACAGGGCCAAGAACTTGGGCTTTTCAGCTAGAACATCCTATATTCAAATTCTGGCTCCAACAATAATTAGTTATGTGACTCTAGCCAAGGTACTTAAACCTCTGACCTTCAATTTCACGAGTAAAATAATCAATCCTAACTTTCAGAATTGTTATAAGGTTTAAGAATGATGGATACACCCAGAACTCCTTAACTTTGTTGAAACTGACACCATCATTAGTAATTAAACTAAAAATTTAAAGTTCATTTTATAGAAGAAAAATGCTGTTAGATTATTTAAATCTCTTGCTTAGGGCCAGCACCTACAGATTTTTTAAAATGAAGCATTTATAAATTGTTCATTAGAATGAGATAAGCTCAAGAATAAGAATAAAGACTTTTTCCATGATGACGATGTCCCTCACATTACTCAGTTCCTGGTATCCTTTCACTGACTCCTATTTTCTCTGTATTCAATATAAACTTGTTACTGAAAACCATTATGAATAATTTCAGAATTATTACCACCACCTAATTTGGGTTCCTCCCTCCAACGACTGCTGTAGGGTAAGCAGGAAAACGCTGGAACACACAAAACTTTCTATTTGCTATTTGAAAGCAGCTCCAGTAGTGCTGACTACTGAAATGTCTTCCCCACTCGTGCAGTCTTTATCCAGTTTAGCTTCTCTAAACAAGCTCAAAGTCTTTGCTGTCCCTTCCCTGAAACACTCCCCCCAACCTACTTTGTATGAAATCATACTCTCAGGAATTTTCAACCCTCTACTGAGCCTCCACCATCTCTTCACCCTTATGTGGCATCCTCATCCATACCCACAGTTTCAGCTACAACTTTGCTTTGGATATGGTGTCTGTATCCAGTTCTGGCCTCTTAAGCAAGCTCTAATCCCCAGATTCCAACTGTGCATTAGTTAATTCTATCTCTTTGATGCCCCAAATCAATTATTTCCAACTGAACTCCTCTTCCCTGGAATTATTCCTCCTCCTATGCTCCTTTTTATACCAGTAATATGTCCTAAACACCACACAGGCAATAATCTTCAATTTTCCCACCCCTTGCTTTCCATTAACAAACTGACTATAAAATCATAATGATTCTTTTTCTATCAGTTTCTCTTTCTCACTCTCACTACCACTAACCTACGCTTTATTTATTGCCAAAATTACCACAATACTCTAACTAGTCCCCCAGTCTCTGGTCACTCATCTCTGAACTTAAAACATCTCTGAACCTTACAAAGCTATGAGATTAACAGCCCAAGAATACAACTCTAAGGATTTCATTCTCCAGCTAAAAAAATAATCTCCAGTGCCCATGGAACAAAGACCAAATTCCTTGGCCCAGCATTTAAGTCTGGCATAATCTGGCCCCAATGATTTTATTAATCTTTCCCCCCATTCTCTGCTAAGTACCTGCAGGCCTCCACACATGCCCGTGCTGTGCAGCCTCCTCTGCTTTTTTTTCATGCTATTTCCTATGCCTAGAAAGTCCTCCCCTTCCACCAGACATGAATGTCTAAATCCTATTCAGTCTTCAAGGTTCAGCTCAAATGTCTTTCCAATCTTCCCTGCCAAAAGATAAAGTAAGTTTTCTTTAACCCATTTCAATGAGTAATAATCTATTCTCCTCCCTCAGTGCACTTGGAACACTTGGAATGTAACTTTCTTATGCCCCTGTTCACCTTGTAATAGATTTTTAATTATCTCCTTACTAGACTCCAAGTTTCTGGAGATGGCCAAATCTTAACTTCTGGTGCCTTACACTTAGATACTTACTATTTATGGAAAGAACAAATGGAATTTCACAGAGTAAGTTTACTTTTCCACATGACAGCTCTTCAAATCACTGAAGCCAATCATTATATCCCACCCAGCTTAACTCTTCTCCAGACCAAATGCACTCAGCTCTTTTAACTGTTTAGGACCTTTTTTTCTTTTTTTAAGATTTTATTTTTTTATTTGAGAGAGAGCGAGATCACGCACACAGGGAGGGGCAGAGGGAGAAAGTACCTGAAGCAGACTGTACTGAGCATGGAGTCCTACACAGGGCTCAATCCCAGGACCACAATATCATGACCTGAGCCAAAATTGAGAGTCCTACGCTCAACCGAATAAGCCACCCAGGTGCCCCATTTAGCCATCCATGCACATGTACTCTTGATACTGTACCACATTCAACGCCACTCAGCTGGTCCCTCAAAACTGGTCCTCAGAACTAAGCATAATATTCTAGGTGTGTTCTAACCAATACAAGGCAGTTTTTCCTCTTAAAGCTAGTTCAAGAGTTCTTAACCTGGGATATGTAGCAGAGGAATTGGGGGAGGGGGGTGTAAATTCTATGTACAGATACACTGATACATTTTTTTCTGGGAAAAAAATGTTATTATAGCTAAAATAACATTCTTTTTCTCTAAGGATCTTAACGAATTTCGGTTAACATTGCTAGGTCTCTTTTACCATCAACCCTAGTCCTGTGAAGTTGGGCTTTGGGAATCGAAGAGCAGGACTTTGCCTCTACACCTATGATAGTTCCTCCTGTAAGTATTGGTCCCACTAGTCATCAACCGACATGTTAGCCATTCTTCTGCAAATCTGATAAACATGTCTCACAAAGCAAGAGCTCTCAACTCCTCTGGATACTAACAGATGTTCCAGGTACCCTATATGTAAATCCGCACTTGCCAACTCATAATTTCTAACAAGTTTCTTGTTAGTACATTTTAATCCAGTGCTTCCTTAATGTCAGCATCTGTTGCAGAAAACAAATCTCTTTACAGAAAATAACCTCAGTAGAAGAAGAGAATTACTTTTTCAAAAGCCAATAAGCCACAAATTTTGTATCATAGTGGCCACACTTTTATACTACTCGAAGTATGCAACAGCTCTCAAACATGGTATTTGAGTATAACCTCATACCGAACCTGTATTGAGCCACATGTTTAATTTCAACCTACCTTGTAAGGCCAAAGGAATAGCTTCAATCTGGATCTTTGTGGGCTTTGTCCATCCCAACTGGTCACAGGCCTCACACAACACATCTGTTACACCCTTAGAATTCAGAAAAACAAACTTTAGCAAAGAACGAACACACACACACACACACTTGCTTCTCTACTAATTAAATGAATGTCAGAGCCACCCTGCTGATGACAAGTGCATCCCTTAGCCTTTGAGTCAAAACGTATCGCGCGCCTACTCGGTCTGCTCTTTAACAACTTCTACTCAGAGACAAAGCCGAGTTCTCCACATGTCTTATTTCATTTAATCCTCACAACTCTATGAAGTACTTATTACTACCCCCAATCTACAGATGTGCAATGTGAGGAAGTGCGAGGTAACGACGTGCCCCTAGTTAGCAACTGGGTCAGACTCCAAACCCGTTTCATCTTACTGCGCAGCCCAAGATTTCGGCGGGGTGGGGGTGGGGGGACTGCCGCATGGACAGTATCCTGGCGAATACAAACGTGGGCACACCAAAATGGAGAAAAGCGCAAATGGCAACTCTCAAGGACCGGCAGCCCTCCCACCATTCAAACCCGGAGGTTTAGGGACAGCGTCGGAGCCCAAGCTTCGGAAATTCTGAGGGAAAGCCAAGCTAGGCGCCAGATGCTTTTGAACACCGCCAGCCAGGATGTGAGGGAACCGGACTCTGTCTGCGCCTGATGCCAGTAGTATAAAGAAGAGCCGGCGTAATCCACGCTCACCAGATCTTTAAACGTTTTTGTTTCCTCCTCCTGGGCGGCCGGCTGAGGCGCTTCAGTCGCAGAATCACACTCCTCGGGCGCCGCCATGTCTTCCGCGCACTCCGGAAGTGGGTCGGCAGCGCGCGGGATGCCGGGAAATGTAGTTTTAGTTCTCACGGGGCATCACCTTTGGGCGCCCCCTGCGAGCTTGCTGGGATTTGCCCGCCCTAGGGGTGTGGTCTAGCGGAAACTTGGTTAAAAAAAAAAAAAGCAGGGGATGGACGTAAACGTATGGCCTTACAAACCTAGCCAAATGCAGAAAGGGCTGACGACGTGAGCCTCCTATCTTTTAGGAGCCTTTAAAGAAGTTTCCTAACGTCTCACACCTGTTATGTCCCTTGCTTTTCTAACCATAGAGCTTTGAACAGGTTGATATCACAATACTATTTATTTAATTGTTTCATTCATTTATTTAATAATACTTGTTTAGAGCATACCATATGCTAGGGCTATGCTAGATGCCTCATGAACAGGACAACATCCCTTGCTGTTGTGGAGAAGACAGATAATAAATAAGTGATCACTGATGATGTCGAGTTGTGATAAATGCTTAAATGTAACAAATGGAAATAAAAATGATGGAGAGTAACCTGGGAGAGTGGGTTGTGGGGATAACTGTGAGATTGAGCAAGGCCTCTGGGAGGCAGTGATAGTTGAGCTGAGATCTCACTGATGAGAAGAAGAAAGTCCTTTCAAGGACCAAGGGGAGAACTATTTCAGACAAAAGGAATAGCAAGTGCAAAGAATAGTTAAAATGTGTTCACAGTGTGATGCAATGTGCCTATAACAATATGGCTGGATCTCAAAGACCTAGTGCAGAGTGAGAAAAGTATACAGTATACCAAGTACATTTAAAATATATGCCCCCTCTTGGGGCGCTTGGGCGGCTCAGTCCTTAAGCGTCTGCCTTTGGCTCAGGTCCTGATCCCATGATCCTGGGATCTAGCCCTGCATCTGGCTGCCTGCTCAGCGGGAAGCCTGCTTCTCCTTTTCCTTCTCCCATTCCCCCTGCTTGTGTTCCCTTTCACTATGTGTCTCTTTCTGTCAAATAAATAAATAAAATCTAAAAATAATAATAACATAAAATAAAATATATGCCCCCCAAAAATAAATAAAATAAAATATATGTCCACAAAATATCACTTTCTGCTGGAGCACATACACACTGAAAGATACACTTTAGAGATAGGTTATCAATGGAGCGAGAGGAATTGGGATAAAATTGGAAATTGGGGAGCTGGGAATAAAAGAGAATACATATACAAAGCAAAAAGAAGGAACTTCTGACGACAATGTGCCTTGAACCGAGAAGTGTCAGCTCAACTCAGTGTGCCTGAGATCCTCCCCACCACCACCATCAGGGCTGAGAAAAGGCTCTGATTTAGGAATCACATTGGTGTCTCCAGCAACAAAAACAGGTAGGGTGCAATCAGAGAAGTGGGGTCAGGTCAGACCCTGTAGGGTTGTAGGGCCCTCCAGTAAGAAAGTTTGGGGGTGGGTGTTATCCTGAATACAAAAGGAACCTACTGGAAGGTGTTGAGCAGGGAAGAGAAAGGATCTACATATTTAAAATATCACTCTAACTCTTTCAGAGACAGATCGTAGTGAGGAAAGGATAGAAAGAGAATGTAGGAAGCAAGAGCTGATCTTCTTGCCCCCAGCTCTAAGCATACTGCCTGACACAAAATGGATGCTCCGTCAGCACCGCCTGGATGAATGACAACTCAACGAAGCATCGGAATCAAGTATGACAGCAGATCAAAAGGAACTTCACTGGTTGTTTCCTCAGGGAGTGAAATCGCTTCTAGCTTTGTGATCACCTCCTGCAGAATACACTAGGGCCTTCGGTCTTTTTATACCATTTCTCTAAGTTAAAGGAAAGGAGAACAGACACACACTGTATAAGTCAACAGGTCACCCTGTTGAGATGGGTTCAATCAGCCCGTGCTTGTGCCAACACAGTCTGAAGCATTCCAGTTCCTCATGCAGCCCGCTACACCTCCACCCTCTCTGTTTTCCCAGGACTGGGAAATTAGGCCAGCCTGGGTGAGCTCCAAGTGGGTAACACTCTTTGGGATAAGGAGAAGTTGACTTATCCTGAAGAAAGTCTCTCATACTAACTCTCGCTCTTCATCTTCCTGTGCTGTGCTTGATAGACGTGCTGGAAATGCTGTGCTCTTTGTTGGACAAAGGAGAAAGAAACTCGAGTCCAGGGGATAAAGAGACATTTCACACAGCAAGGTGACATGAAACAAGGGTAGAACCCAGGCCTCCAGGGCCCGGCCGGCCCTTTTCCCCACAGAGAACATCAGCTTCCGTGATCTCAGCACCTTTCTTCCTGCGGACTCACACACCAAATCCCACCGCCGCACAGAGTTTTCTCTAACAACGACAGAGTGGCCAAAGTATTTCTTCAGCTTCCCTTAGACTCGTTTTCCGGTTTCATTTAGGAGGGGAGTGGGCAATGAAAAGTGCTGAGGGAAGCCAGAAGCCCTGATGGTAAAGGAGGGAAGCTAGAGGCCTGGAAAGGAGACCCAGATGGAAGCAATTGGAAGGACTATAAAATTGCATATCATATGGGGTCTAAAGTTCCCCAGGGTTTGTTAAAACGTGTGACAGGAAAGGGAAAAAAAAAAAATCACAGGAGATTTTTGGGGCTGCTCTGAAGGGGGACGGATTTCAACGACTCAGCTGCTCTTATAATATAAACTGCCCTTTTCATCCAAGCCCAAAGCGTTTCTGTTTGTTCTTGGATAATTCAGACATCAGCTATTTTTAAGACTTCCTGTGGTGCCAGTGTCCCCGAGGCACAGAGGGACGCTGAGAAGACAGGGCTCAATGGCCCCAACAGCAGCCTGTTGGTGCCATTCCGGGCACAAGGCCTGTGGGCAAGATTTGGGCCTCCCCCAGCACCCACGCCTGGGACAGGATTCACGTCAGACCGGCAGGGGGACCCCAGAGGTTTCCACAGAGGAGAGGCAGCACCAGCTGAGAGGACTGTCTGCTTTTGACGATGTGGAGTCATTTGGATATTTATATTCTAGTCATGGATTTTATAGAAGTTGTTCTAGTAACTGAGCAGTGTCATATCCTGTACTTTAGAACAATGAGGAAGGTTAAAGAGGAAATCCAAATAAACACTCAAAATGATGAGGAGGGAAATCAGGGCTGAAACAATACACTGGCTCCAGAGGGAGAGGGCAAAGGGACAGACACCACCTTACTCTGAAATGTTTTCACAGACCCTAGTACTCCTGCATTCATAGGACCCTTTTCCCACAAAACAATTCCTAAAAATTATACTTTAAGGCTGCATTAGTATAAAGACAAATGTATAAATATTACCATATTAAAATAGTTTCTTTGGGGCGCCTGGGTGGCTCGGTGGGTTAGGGCCTCTGTCTTTGGCTCGGGTCATGATCCCAGGGTCCTGGGATCGAGCCCCACATCGGGCTCTCTGCTCAGCGGGGAGCCTGCTTCCTCCTCTCTCTGCCTGCTTCTCTGCCTGCTTGTGATCTGTGTCTGTCAAATAAATAAATAAAGTCTTTAAAAAAAAGAAAGTTTCTTTGATGTGAAAGTTCTTTTGTTTGTCCTTTTTTTTTTAAGATTTTATTTATTTATTTGACAGACAGAGATCACAAGTAAGCAGAGAGGCAGGCAGAGAGAGAGAGATGGGGGGAAGCAGTCCACAACAGTGGATCCTGGACCAAATGTGGAGTGAGTCCTCAAACTTATGGACAAGGCTTCTGTAGAAGATGCAGAGTCCTTTGTTCATTACTTTCTGCTGAAGATCCTCCCAAAAGTTGCTTTTCCTGTAGCCAGTCGTGGAGAAAGCTCCCTTTTTGTCCTGAACGTGTTCTGTATTCATCAGGAAGGAACCAGTGCCAAATGTAATCAGTCAGAAAATTCTCTTTAACTTATGAATTAAAATCTGCTATGAATGTGTATGTTCAAGACAAGAGAGACACATGATTGTTACAACAAGGGCAAAGACAGAACAGGCCAGAAGAAAGAGAGTTCACATGCAAATTACTTAGTTATATAACAAATCCCTGTCTAGAGGAAGAAAGATCACTGGTCCCAGTTGACTGTTGGTGTCTTCTTTTCGCTTTTGATTTTAAAAACTTCTTAAAATACAGAGGAATCTGTATTTGTTTCTTCTTTGTTGTTGTTCAACAAATAGTCTCAAACATTATGTCAGACCCTGGGCCAGACATCAGGATCCAGAGCTAAGCATGCAACCTGTGCTCCAGCAGGGGAGAGAGCCTGTTTAAAAAAATAAGAAGAAATAGGGGCACCTGGGTGACTCAGTCGGGTAACTGTCCGTCTCCTAATTTCAGCTCAGGTCATGATCTCAGTGTCCTGGGATGGAGCCCCATGTCAGACTCCCTGCTCAGTGGGGAGTCTATTAGAGGTTCTCCCTCTCTCTCCCTCTGCCCCTTCCCCTTGTTCTCTAATGTATCCTCTTGCTTTCTCTCTCTCTCTAAAATAAATAAATATTTTCTAAAAAGAAGAAGAAAGAGGGTGCCTGGGTAGCTCAGTTGGTTAAGCCACTGCCTTCGGCTCAGGTCATGATCCCAGAGTCCCAGGATCAAGTCCTGCATCAGGCTCTCAGCTGCAGGGGGAGTCTCCTTCTCCCTCTGACCTTCTCCCCTCTCATGCTCTCTCTCACTGTCTCCCTCTCAAATAAATAAATAAAATCTTTAAAAAAAAAAAAAGAACAAGAAGAAAGAAAGAAATATTCACAGTCAAGAGGGACAGATAGACACAGAAAAATAATCACAAGTGAGATGAATGGTACCAAGGAGAAAAGCAAGAGCATCACTTAACTTTTATCTGTGAATCATGGATGTTTTCCCTGTGGAAGTGACTTTTAAGCTGAGACCTGGAATTGACCAGCTGTGTGGGGAATAGGGAATGGCTTAAAGACAGAATCTCCTAGGTTAGGCCCTGCAGTGGAAAAAATCAGACAAAGCTTATAGTGATTAGAAGATGGTGATTAAGAATGAAGCTGGTAGTAGAGACAGGGACGTGAATATCGAAGACCCCCATATGCCATGTAAAGGATCTGGGATTTGAGACTT